TAGATCGTTATATCTTGATTGGATCTGATGAGGGAATCTATACGCTCAACATCAGTCAGAATGATAAAGAAATGGAACAAGTTAGTATAACGACAACCTCGCAACCAGGCTCTTTCCTCAGGAGAAGGAAAGAGCCTGGGTACGACTTTGGTTTAACGCTTGCCTTTGACGTTGCTACAGACGGACAGGCATCGAAACAGATTTTTTTGCTGTACTGTATAGATCGACATTTTTTTCTGTTTTAGATTTTTTCAAAGCGTTGTACTTGGCTGTATGTTTTTAAAAATCTGCTAGTATCAATATCAGGTACATTATAATTCACAATAATATCGTATTCAACTCATCACCGTTTCATTTCTCTGTCAATATTTCACAGCGACATTTTTTTGTTCACAGGTCGCCCGTCGTTTCTGTTCATGCATAACCTGCTAGCCTTGCACTCTCGACAGCCTGTCTTCTTTCCGCTAAAGTCATTAACAAGGTAACAGTTTTGACTTGAGTATGAAGTTTAGATGTTTGAGTGTTGGCAGCATTTGCGGAGGTCCAGAATTGACTTCATTATACCGCTACAACCATTACCAAACAGATACGTTTATTCTACACACGTAAATTCGCACACGTTGTAACAAACTGCAGCAGACTTGTAGCAATGCTGTTCCAAACACCACAAGACTGCACATGTTCCCTTTGCGTACTCAAACTGTAAATCTCAAAGAGTTAACTTAATTACAAAAGTGTTATTCTGGCACCATAAAACTCCATGAAATATACAGTGTAAATATATATAAGTTTTATACAAAAGTTTCCTCCTGCAGTAATAAGTTTCCTCCTGTAGTAATAAGTTTCCTCCTGTAGTAATAGGTTTCCTCCTGTAGTAATAAGTTTCCTCCTGTAGTAATAAGTTTCCTCTTGTAGTAATACTGGAGGAAACTTATTACTGCTCTATGATTTGTTCTTTAGAGACACTTACACGACTCGAATCCCAGACACAAAAAGTTGTAACAAATGTACTGTTGGTAAGTTTCACGTGTTTTGTAATTATGTGAAAAAAATTACAACAACTGATCTACATGACGTATCATACGATGGTATACCAAGATGACAATACATTGATCTATGTTGTGAGATTTATTCTTTTGTTCCATTGTTATAATCAGCCAATCACAGAGCCTGTTCTTACAGCTTTGCGATGACCCGATTTCCTACTTGAAGCAAAAAAGGGAACATTTCTTTTTAACAAAATTTCATCTTTTCTATAGTTCACAATCCTTACGATGAACAAGTATATCTGTGTGTGGCAATGACGAAGAACGTTCTATTAATGCAGTGGTATGAACCACTAGAAAAATTTATGAAAGTGAAGGTAATTCGTGTTATATATCTTATTTTATAGTCTTCTATTCTTACGCAAGACTTGATGTTTGCAACAAGCATTTGGAGGTTTCGATTAGTTCAATTTATCAATGTTCCAATACACGTTTATACGATGTCAAATAATACGATATGTTTTGGAACAGTGATTTTGGTGGCATTGTCCAGAATAATGGAATTGCTTCTGTCGTCCGCAGAGCATTTTATATTTCTTTCTTGTTTCACAGAATGTACCATGTGACTTGCCAAGCAATCTAAATATATTTGAACCTATCGTTCGCGCTGACATGGAACTTCCGCTTATATGTATTGGAGCGAAACAAAGGTTAGCTTTTTAATAACATTCTATGAAAACAATGAACTACATCCTTCATGCTTTAGCATGTCCATTTTAGTAGAAGTTGTGCTGTGTCGAAATTTTAAAACAGAATAAATTTCTTTCTGTTAGTGAGGACCGACGGATACATTTTGATTCCATTAATTTAAACTCGACGACCAACTGGTTTGACGAAGCAAGTCGTAAGTACACCTTATATCATACTTTATAGTCAGAAATGAACCTGCCAAAAATTATAGGACTGTTAATTGAGAATGCCTTGCAATATAGGAACTGCCTCAGTGAACTAGTCCTTTTCAATCTATATAACGTCTAAACATGTCAATCCATTTATTGTAGCGGGTCAAGTCCTCAATCTGAAAACATTTGCACAACTGGAGAAAGATCTCGTAATGATAGCATACGATAGTAAGTATTTCTCTTGTTTTTTTCGTCATGTTGTGCGCAATGCCGCCGAGGTGGGTGGGAGGGGGGGGCTGGGGGCATTTAGCCCCGGGCCCCCACCTCAAAAGGACCCCCAATGCGATGGACGTCCCTTAAATTTACTTGACAAAAGATCGCCTGAACGAGAATACAAATGCTAGTTGCGTCAGTGTCGGACAATATGCAGTGAAGTGCAATATTTTGTAAAACTCTGCTTCTCCTGTTTTACAATTATGACGTCATAGGAGCCCTGGGAAAGTAAATATTTAGTTGTATTTATTGTGTGATAAAATATTTCGTTATTTTTTGCAGATGTAGCTCAGTTTATTGACATTGAGGGTTATATAAAGAATGGGAGTACACACTTGCCAGTTATTACTTTTAAAGAGCGACCGGATTTCGTTGGTAAGTCCGAATGAGTGCCGTTCAATTAAGATATCGCCTGCGCTACATGGGATTGGATTAAGTAAGAGTATTCGCGTTCTTTTGATTGAAATGTCGGTCTGTGTTTTCAGTGTGTCTGCAAGGAAGCATTTTAGGCTTTCATTCCCATGGCATGGAAGGCAGAAATTTATTCTCTGGACAGGTATGCGAAAATAATATCCATGAAAATGTCCATTTAAGGTACTTTCAAAAGTCATCAGTAGCGACAGGAAGCTACAGGTAGACTATAAATGTAAACGTATATTCTGTATACAGTATACAGTAAGGAGAAATTGGGACATATATATTTTCCAAATTTTCCTAACTCGGTTGTATACGATACACTTAATTCGATATATTGAATTTTTCCCCGAAAATTCTGAAACTTTTTCGTTGATTTTAGATTACCGCAAATGTGAATGAAGCGAACAGAATATTTCGACTACTTTGCTCTGACAGGTATTATAACGAAACTCTTCTGTGTATATTTTGTTCTGTTTGAAGCTTCATATTGTGGCTTTGTCGGACAGCGTAGTGATTGGCCCGTTTTATAATTTATGCATGATATACGTAATTTAATTCGCTGGCGGAGGTCAGCAGCATAGAAATTATTTCTATGGTCAGCAGTCTCCGCGTGTCGTATATGGTTTCAATATTCCACTGTATTGTACTAGAAGTAACCACAATCCCTGTTTCGTTTGTTCGTTTACTTTACAGTCACGTGGTGGTAGAAAACAAACCGGCGGAAGATTTAAAAGCGCCTTCCAGTCTCTACGTCCTATCAAGTTAGTCAACAACATGGCGAGGACGCTGTTTATGGACCTGATGAACAATTCAGATAAGCACACATAATATTGGGGGGGGGGGGGGGGGG